AAAGTCAGAATTCTGAGTTCAAAGTCATAATTCTGGGAAAAAAATCTGAGTTCAGAGATTAAAGTTCTGACTTTTTTCCCATATTAAACTGAAATAAAATTTAAAAATCAGTTAATTTTTTTTTTATTTTTTTTAGTGGCCCTAATCCTCTTCCGTAAAAACCTGAATTTCCACCCAGGGTTTCAAATAATCACTTTTCTGGGATGTGAATTACAGGAATGTTTTGGAAATACAATGCCGGATAAAAAGAGTCTGCAGGCACTTATATAATGTAATTACAGAACAATGACGTGGTCAGCATTTTACGCATTTTTAGACCCCATTCATTGCACGAAACACTTCCAAAGCTTTGGTTATGTCACCTAATCCGATTTGGGGAGCTTTTTAGAAGTCTTGCTATACAGTAGCAGCCATTCAAAATGGCCCTTCCCAGTCAAACGCCAGCCGAATGGCAGCTCACTTCCCACAAACTCACAGCGAAATCCGCTCCAACTTACATCCACTGGAGTGACCCCCTCTTGCATATTTTTTTTACTTTGACTCCAGCCTTTCACGGAATTACACAGAATTTCTGCTGGAGGTTTCTTCCTGTTAAAAGGGAGTTTTTCCTCTCCACTGTCGCTACAAGCATACTTAGTGTGAGGAATTGCTGAAGAGCCAATGAGTCGATGCAATCAACTGGTTTTCCTTAGATAGAAAACTTTAATCAATTTGAATGGATGATCTGGTGAATTGAGATGACATGTGTTGTAAATTGGTGCTATATAAATAAACTGAAAGCTTAAATTTTAAATCTTAGTGTCCACAAATCACGACAGAAAAAATGTTTTAGTACAAAGATTGATGTTTAAAAAGGAATTGGACCCATCAAGGAAAGTGGGGAAATTTTGAACGGCTACTACTGTAAGTTGATTGTAAATCAAACGTTTTGAACACCAGAGGGCAGCATGGTGTCAATAATGAGACCTTAAAGAGAGGCTACACACACAAGCACAGGTGAAGTGAATTCATGCTTAAAACCAGCAGAGATGGCAAGAGTACTCACTTTCCGTACTTGAGTAAAAGTACAGATACTTGTGTT